GTTGGAGGTCGTGCCGCATGTCGTTGAACTCAGCTCGTCGAGATCTTTCTATTGACACCGGCGGTGTCAAAAATGGAGGTCAGAATCTTAACTTGAGTATTTGGCCATTGATGGTTTGTGTGAGAGAAAACGTGAGAGGAGAGAATGAGCGAGAATAAGAGAAAGAAAGTGCAAGAACCCTAAAAATTTCACTATATAAAGTATCTGATTAAGGCAAGATTACGTGTCTGATCTTATCCTCAATTATTTCCTCTAAACAGATTAAATTTATACTGATTAGAGGTAATTAGTTTAGCTCACGTAAGTTAATCTACTACTTACAGTCCAATATTAATTTCTGAATAATTCAATATTGTTTTATATTCTTACTCGCGTAATATTTCAAACTGTTTCAAGTCTTGAAATTAATTTTAGACTGAACAAATTCTAAATTTTAATTTTCTGTATTCTATCCCGAGAATGACGTTTCTGACAGTGTCAACTCCCGAGCTCATATTGTATCCATCTACTATAGGTATTTATCTTGTGACTTTAACCTAACTGTCTTAGCAATTAAGGATTTTTTTCTTCTTTTAAAATGCCAGTGCGTTTTTTTTTTATACGCCGCTAACATCGTGCCGTGCTTAGAGATTCTTGAAATTAAGATTCTCAAACTATACTTGTACTGAAAATTATTCCGCCTTAAAATACGGCGAGAATTTATCGATCGAATTTACTTGATCGAAACATGAACTTAACATGAAATTTGCTATAGAATTTAGGAATACATATATTAATTCCATAAATCCTCCATTCACAATATAACATAATATTTTCTAAGAAAATCCTTGGCTTAAAAATACATGAATTGTATTATTTAAGGTCTGGAATTTTCTCAGTCATTACAGATTCATACAGCGGAAACGTGGGATTATGTGGATTTCCTCTGTCTAAATCATGCAGCAATGATGACGCACAACAGGATCAAGGCGGTGATGATGAGGGAGATCACAACAATGGAATGATTGATTGGAAGGTGGTGATGATGGGATATGGAAGCGGAATGGTGATCGGAATATCAATCGGATACATGGTCCTTTCCAGCAGAAGCTTCAATTATTGGTTTCACAAAAAGATTTGGAGGGGGACGACGTCGCAAAACCAGTGGTCGCTTAAGATGGAGGAGAAGATCAAACTAGCAAGCAAAGGAAAACACAGTCGGGCCATGAGAAGTAAAGTAAGTTTGTATTGAACGTTTGCCGTTATAAATTCTTGTTTGCTTTTATGAACCAAACTTTATCAGCTAAGTAATTATTTTTCTTTTTTCCTTTTTCTTTATTTTCTTTTGCATTTCTGGGTTTTGATGTTGTTCAGGAGGATGCTTGAAGTGTTGTTATTCAAATTGGCATACTAAGGCATATATGGATATGATGACAGCACTATCTTCTTTCATATATATCTTTACTAGCTATATGAATAATTTATTTTCTTTTGTTTTCTTTACTAGCTAGTATATTTTGAAAATTGTAATCATAAGTGGGGATTCAGTCATATCCAAATGTTTTGGAGCTTGTATTTTACATACTTGTTCAATGGAATTGTCAATTATGCTTTTGTTTAAGTTGTAACATACATCTAATTATGCAGAGGAAATTTATATCGTGAATTCCTCAATAATGGAATCAATTCGAAGCGCGAATTCCTTACTCAATTAGTAGGTAAAACTCTTTTTCAAACAAATTTATTACCCACTCATTTTTTAAAAAGGTCTAGGTAAAACAATATTACACATTTTACACATTTTTATGTGTGGGTAAAAAATATGTAGGTAAAACAATGTGCTTCGTGGAATAATTTTGCCACGTCAGCATTGACAAACGTGGAACTTTGTTCCGTCCATGAAACTTATTGGCGCTATTTTTAGGCACAAAAAAAAAAATGCATAGATAATTAAATTCAACTACACATATATGTGAAGCTAAAATTCTTTTTCCAAACACTTGCATTACCCAATACCCACACATTTTAAAAAGAATGTGTAGGTAAAAAGAAAGATTTGCGACGTGTGAGTAAAAAATGTGTAGGTAAAAAATGTGTAGTATATTTAGAAATTTATACCGTGAATTCCCCAATAATAGAATCAATTGGAAGTGCCAATTTCGTACTCAATTAGTAGGTAAAACTCTTTTTCAAACATATTTATTGCCCACACATTTTTGTAAAAAGGTCTAGGTAAAAGAAAAATTCACCCACACATTTTTATGGAGGATTCAGTAACATCCTAGTGTTGTGGAGTTTGTATTTTACATTCTTATTTAATGGAAATGTCAAATTATGGTTTTGTTTAAGTTATAACATACATCTAATTATGAAGAGGAAAATTATGTATCATGAATTACCAAAAAATGGAATCAATTTGATATGCCAATTTCGTACTAAAATAGTTGTTTAATTAAACAGCCTTTGTCACCGGATCTAAAAGAAAATTAATAAATACATTTACCTTTATTTATATACTCTGAAAACTATTTGTACAAGTTCTAAATTAATATGTCGGGCATAAGGCAACATAATCCGAGTACTTTTAAAATGCCAGAACAAGCTTCAAAGATGATAGGCTTTTTGTTTTTCATAAAGTCTATAAATTCATTATCTATAATGTCCATATAATTCCTACTTCCTGACATAGTGCTGAGAAATTAAGAAGTGTAACCCCATATCCAAATTCAGGTTGTAATTTATGTTTTTCATAAAATAAAAGAATTAATTGTTTTTATTGAGCGTCTAAAAAAAGAATATTTCAAGAAATAACTAGTTTGCTTTTTTTTTTTTTTGGAAACTACAAGCATTTTTCATTTTATATTTTTGCAATTTCTAGTTGTCTGTTGTTTTTAAGGCTTCTGCTCATTTTTCAGAGGTTTATCGTTTGTGACTTCTCAATTGTTTATATGGTTCTTGTCATTTTACAAAATTTTGAGATCTTTTATCAAGTTTTTATTTTCTTAGTCATACGTTGAATGTTGTTTGTTAAATCTTTATATTTCTATGGACTGTCCTATGAATTTTTTGCACGTTATATTGTCAATTTTCTTTTGTATTCGAGCAGTAAGTCATTTAACAATTTATTGTCGTTTTGTCGTTTATGTGATGTTCAATTTTTCAGAATTCGGGGTGGAAAATTCAAATTTTATGATATCGTTGTGTTCTAGGTATTTTCTTTTTTTGGTCTCATATTGTTCTCATTCAAACTCCAAAAAATTTGGAATTATTATTTTTTAAATATGACAAATATCCAATAATTATCGACCTTTTTTCAAAGTGCTTTTGATTTTTTAAAACTGTTTAAAACACCCCCGACATGTAAAAAACCATTCAAAATGCTCCTCACGTCCACTTATGTTTACAAGTCTAAGGGATTTGTTGATATGGCATGCTGTTAAACATTAATAAAAGAGTAAATTGCCCCCCAAACTATTTGTTTCTTACATGATGGACACTAAATTTTTATTTTTGGCAAACTTTAAAATCAATAGCAATTGAAGTGTCCATAGTTATGGCGATATCAAAGTGACGGTTTGAGACACGAAATTTATGCATGATATGGTTTGAAAAATGACGATAATTGCTTTTTATGTGTGAATTTTAAGTCTTAAATCATTAGTTTTATAACGGTTATTGGCTATTGATACTCAATTACTACTAATTTTAAAATTCAGAGTGCAATTTGTTAAAGTTACAAGTTCGAGGTCCATTATATATTAAAAAAACTTGGAGTGTAACGTTACAATTTGCTCTAAAAAAAAAAAATCTAAAGTTTTCCACTCCCGTCTGTAGGACCTGCCCACCCCTTTTTCATGTTGGCACCACCACCATCCATGATTAAAGACCACGCCGGAACCTCTAGTGTTACATTCCCTCTCGCAGCCCTAAAACACCCCCGCACAACCTCTCTCGTTTTGATTCCGTTTGTTTGGTGCCCTAGCATGCCATGTCAACACTACGTTAGGATTATAGACGGGAGTGAAACGGAGGGGCGTTTTAAACGGTTTTCTACATATTATGGGAATCTTTTGAATGGCTTTAAAAAATTAGGGGCACTTTGCAAAGGGTCCATACTTCAGGGCATCTATGAAAATAATCCAAAATATATATATTTGGCTCACAGGGACAATACGGTCATTTCAGACGTTTACAACATACCACTTGCCTCTGCCAAACTTGGCTTCACCAAACAAAAGCAAGCAGGCCTTCTCTGAGCTTCTTTCTTCAGCGGAGATTTCTCCAACATACATACGGTTGATGATATGCACAAGACTATTACAAACCAAATATCTCAAGTACTGCAATTCTCTCTCTCTCTCTCATTCAGAAAAAGCAAAACAAATCCCCTCTACATACATATATAGATATATATATATATATCCACTGCTCTCGAGTCAACATGTTCACTTGAAATTTCATCGGTTTTAAAGCTCTGAACCCACATTAGGAATATTGGATTCTGCTCAAAATCCATGGATATGGCGCTTGATTCTTCCATCCTCAGCCCGCCCAAGTTCATCAACGGCTCGAAATCGCTGAGTTTCCTCCACTACAACACCCGATTAAGAATGCCCACGACAACATTCCCGCAAAATAATCGGTACCCATTTCCTTTATGCTATAATTCTAGTGAATTGAGGAGCTTTTGGAGTAAAAGAAACGATTTTTACGATGCAAAAGAGCGCTTGAGACCAATGGGTAAAACCTTGAGCGGCGAAAATGGGAATTTGGGTTTAAATTTTGAGTTTTTGAGGGGAATTTTGAAGAGTGGGATTGTTCTGGTGGCAATGGTTTGTGGGGTTTTGGTTTATGGCTGCAAAAGGGCTTTTGCGACTGAGGGAGTTGTGAACGCTGGCTATGGCGTTATTGGGCAGAGCATTTTGTTGCTGAGAAATGCTTGGCCAAAGACTTTGCAGGTTCTTCAGGTGTTCAAAGAACAAGGATTAATTTTGGCAGTGCTTTTGGGTCTCTCTGCGTTTTTCTCTATGGCTGAGACTGCTATCACCACTCTTTGGCCTTGGAAGGTATTGGATTTCTGTCCATTTTGTTGTTCTTAGTTAAATGAAAGTCCCAACTATCATAAATGTTGATGAACATAAGGTGTGTATCTTGCTCTTCTTAGTTAGCGTTATTCATTGCTTTATTGTAAACAAAGTTGTAATTTTGACAATCAAGAATACACTTGTGACTTCCTAGTGGAGAAATGCTATATCTCACTTATGACAAAATGTTAAACAAAGTATTGACTTCCTAGTGGACACTTCTTTGTTTTTGAAGACTTGAAAGGAAGTATCTATGAAGTATGGGACAAAGTGAAATTTTAGGTCGCAATTTGGTTGCATGAAGATCAAGACTTTAGTGGCTGTTTTCACTTTTTTCTTATACTTAAAACAAAACAACCAAACACAATTTCAGAACTAGTTCCAATAACATTCTCAATCAAATCTCATGTCCATTGTCATGCCCGAAACCAAACCGTTTTGAAAATGCTCCGAAATGGGCCCTTAGGAATTTGCACTTTTCGGATTTGGATACGGAGTGGCAGTTCTTGATGTACTTTATTTTATTTTTGGATTGTTCTCTTGGTTTTGTTCCATTTTTATGATCTTTTTATCCGGGTGGACTTCCCTGTTCTCTTGGTTTTGCATTTCATTATTTTTCTTGTCTTAATGAAGTTTTGTTTCTTTACTGAAAAAGAAAATTTCCATTTTACCCTTATGCCATAAACTGTGTGCGCGCGCGCACGTGTGTTTCATGAACATAAACTGTGTATCTTGCTCATCTTAGCTTGTTTTATACGTTGCTCTAGTGTAAACAAAATATAATTTTGGCAATAAGAGTATATATTTGTAACTTTTTAACAGAGAAATGTTGTATTGACGGTTTTTTGAATAGTTAGAAATTAACATGTAAAACTGCATTGATAACTGTGTGGTAATCTGTTCGTCTCAGAGTTGCGTGCGAATATAAGTTTGGTCACTCCCCTGCTGGTAGTTCTTAGTTTGCGATGTTATCATATTACTGTGTCAGGTGCGAGAGTTAGCCGAAAAAGAGTCTGAAGATGGCGTCTTCAAAATGCTTCGAAATGATGTTACTCGCTTCTTGACAACCATATTGATTGGCACAACGTAATTCTTATTTCCTGTTTTCAGTTTGACATTTCTTCATTATAAGTTTGGAATGAACTCTTTCTCATAAGAGAGTTTGTTCATCTGATCAGTGTTGTCAATATTGGAGCTACTGCTTTAGTTACTGACGCTGCAACAGCAATATTTGGTGAAGCTGGTGTTAGTGCAGCAACTGGAGTAATGACTGTATGTCTCGGTATCCTCACTTGATCAGTTCGGAGCTAATGTAGCACACCGAAAAGCATATCTATGCAAATGATATAAGTATCTATAAAAATTTTCTACTATACCTAAAATTTAATTTTCCGTCTTTTTCTTTTTTTCTGTTCGTAACGATGCTAGGTTGCCATTTTGCTTCTTACTGAAATCACTCCGAAAAGCATAGCTGTTCACAATGCAACAGAAGTTGCTAGGTTTGTGGTAAGTTTTTCTTTTCTTTTGTTTTTTGTTTTGTTTTGATTTTTCTTTTTCCAAGTTTTGTTTACTGAATTCGATAGGAAAATGCATAATTGATATTTATGTCTTTCAGTTCGGTTGTTCATGCTTTTGTGTAGCTAAGTGTACTCTTGCGGCTTTGCTTTATTGACCATTTTCATGTGTGATGCCTGTAGGCCCGGCCAGTGGCGTGGCTTTCGTTGGTGTTATACCCTGTTGGAAGAGTTGTTACATTTCTGTCAATGGGCATTTTAAAATTGCTTGGTTTGAAAGGAAGAAGGTTTGCTTTCTCAGAACCTCAGTTTAATCTTTCCGCACCTTCCGTATCATCTTTTATTTGAACTGCCCCTGCTAAATGTGTGTCTTACCCATTTTTTTAAGCTCAAATCAGTTTGCAAATGCTAGGTTTGTGTTTGGTAATAGCATATATCTTATTTTGAGAATTACTTAATTTTCTTGTCTTTGCATATGCTGGTGTTGTTCACAATTGTAGTGTAAGCTACATAGAGAATATAACCATCCCCTCAAAAACAAGAGGATGTTGTAGTGGATCTTTTTTTGTTGGAAATATGTTGAGGGCCATTCGAATGAATTGTGGAGTTTTGGATTAATGACCCAGCAAATGCAATTTAAGTTATCAAGAGGGCCGTTGGTGATGTACTATATAATTTATTATAAAGACCAAGTGACGGAAACAGCAATTTTCAGAACATTGTTTATATGTTGGTGAATGAATAGGAGGGCCTGAACTACCATGCTAGGTGATTATGGATTAATTTAAGTAATATGAATATTTCCTGATAAGAACATGCTCTTGGTTATGCGTCCATGCTTAGCATAAGAAAAGAATTATGTCACTCTAATATAAAGCATGAGCTAATGATCAAATTTTCTTTCAGAAAATTTTTTGTCATTGCTTTAAAATTCGTTATTTTTCTTTGATCAGTGAACCGTATGTTACAGAAGAGGAGTTGAAATTGATGTTGCGAGGGGCAGAGTTAAGTGGAGCAATAGAAGAGGAAGAACAGGTATAATGCAGTGTCTCTATTTTGAATGTCTTCTGCTTAAATACTACATTGAAAGATACAAACTAAGAATGCTATTTCTGAATGCTAAAAGTTAGGTATTATTTTTTTAGATTATCTGTGTGCTGACTGTTTGTTATTTCACAATTTACACTACCTTAAAATCCCCTAAAAAGTTGTCTATTTTTTGTATTTCCTAGCAAAGAGAGACTTATTTTTAAAATTATTTTGCAGGATATGATTGAAAATGTCTTGGAGATTAAGGATACACATGTTAGAGAGGTAATGACACCTCTTGTTGATGTAGTTGCCATTGATGCCAGTGCAACACTAGTAGATTTTCACAACTTGTGGTTAACTCATCAATATTCAAGGTAACGTGGAACTATAACGCTCTATTTCTCCAGGGAATAAGTTAATAACTATCAGATTTACGACAACAATGACACGGTGGTGTTTGTTCTAGGGTGCCTGTGTTTGAGCAGCGAGTTGATAATATAGTTGGTATTGCGTATGCAATGGATCTACTCGATTATGTTCGGAAGGTTGGACAGTTTCTATTCTCTTTTCACCTCTGTGAGGTTCAAATTCTTTAATTCTTAATTATACGCAACATCTCATAGGGGGTCAGAATTACAATTTTATTTTATTTTCAAGGGTGATCTACTAGAAAGTACCAGCGTTGGAGATATGGCTCATAAACCTGCATACTTTGTGCCAGGTAATCTTCATCCCGATTTCTTGGAGAACTCTATTTTGTACAAATATTAACCGTCTGTTATTGTCTTCTAATTCTGGTTTTGCATTCAGTCCCTGTATTACAGACTTGTGTACGTATAGTTGACGCATAATGTTCCAAATAAAATATAGCAATGGAATTCCAATAATCTGCCTTGGCAGCAAGTGTTTCAGAGAAACTGATTTGGTTTCCTGTAACTGCTAGTTTGGTGGTTGCTTTGTTACTTTGGCAATCTCTCACCAGGCTCAGTCAGGTGGTGCTAGGTAGGCCCCATTTCGGTAAAATTCTTAGGATACCATTAGTCCCGAATCCTTTTGGATCTAAGTGTTGCCTACTCAGTTGTCTCCTACGGATTCCCGTTGCTTTGGTTCCTAATTATGAGCTTAGCTAACAGGTTCAAATTCCATCTTGTGATACTGGAGTGTGCAATTTTGTACATTTTCTGCTTCCATTATTTCCAACACGTGAATTTTATGATCTGAATAAAATCAAGTTGTTTTGGACCCGCTCTTGGGACATTTGAGCATGTTATGGTCAATTGACCCAACCATTGAAGATCCTTTTTCCAATGGACCTTTGAAGTTCCTACTCTTCCAATTAAGTAGTGTTTTATCATTTGAGTGGTTTATGTTTAAATTTTCTTAGTTTAAGCTCCGTGGTTGGAAGAGTACCATTGGACCATAAACTTAAGGTTCCATTTAGACATAGCATAGTCAGTAGCTTGTATTTTGCTTACTAAAACTCTAGCATTTGTTTTCTACTAAAACTATCATGCATTAACTATTGTCATCCATTTCTTGTTTTCTACTAAACTTATATGAGATCATATTCTTCATTTATTTTATGTATTCTGGACTTGACGGTATTGATTGGGCGTCCCAATGCGGCTACTTATATTTTTGAGGTGATAAAATTATAATGTTTATGGAATTATGATGCAGATTCAATGTCAGTCTGGAATCTTCTTAGAGAGTTCCGCATCAGAAAGGTCCACATGGCTGTGGTTCTTAATGAATATGGAGGAACCATAGGGGTATGTTCATTGATTTTGTCATCATTGAGTTGACGCATTCTACTAGTTATACAGCAACCTTCTATGCACATTATGGTTTTTTCATGTTTCTATGAACAATATCTCACTTTTTTCTTTTTTCCCTTATGACCAGTTAGTTACTCTGGAAGATGTGGTCGAGGAAATTGTTGGCGAAATCTTTGATGAAAACGATTCCAAAGTAATGCTTTCTATAACTAGCTTCTGCACTTTCTGTCTCCTCTTCTTGATAAGTAGTCTTAAAAGAGTATTCAAAATTGAAAAGAACAGAAGCTGCAAAAGTGAAAAATTATGAAGATGCCAGTTTCATTTCCAAGAAATACCATGCTCAAGAAATTAGTCTTAGCTTCCACTAACTTATCTAGCCGCCTCATATACTTGTAGGTTAATCTGATGACAATATCAGTTCCGCCACCTATTTTATCCCATGTTTGACATCTGATCTTATTTCCAAATGTTTTATGTTCATTCTGCTTCTTATGAAACAGGAGGAGATTCAGAAGAAAACTGGCTACATTGTGATGCGTGCAGAGGGAGTATTTGACGTGGATGCAAATACGTCTATAGACCAGCTATCCGAAGATCTGAATGTCAAAATGCCCGAGGTACACATCACTATGTTGCCGAAATTCTTATTATTGTCCATCATAAAATGGCTGCTTGCTAGTTCACTGAACATGAATATCATGAAAGGCATTTCCTTTTCCATATCTAATTTACTGTTACTTGTAATCATGGTTGCTAGTAAAACGTCAATGTAATGATGATTAAATGGTAGTATCCACTTATATGTTACAGGGTCATCAATACGAAACAGTATCGGGTTTTATATGCGAGGCATTTGGATATATTCCAAGGACAGGTGAGACCATCAAAGTAGTCCTTGAAAAGGAGAATGAAGAAGAGGAGGACGAGGAGTCCAAATCCGATCACCAGGATCAGAAGGAAAAGCATCAGATTTTTAAACTTGAGGTACGTCCTTGAATATTTGTCACCTCTTAGGCCTTGGAAAGTTCATTCTATAAAGTATTAAAAAAGGGGTTAAATTCAAGTTTCTCCTCAATTACAAAAAGTTTCGTAACTGCCTTTCTAATCCAGGCTACTATAAAAATCCCCATTTTATGTATTCCCAGGTAATGTTAATGAGCAAAATGAAGAAGATGGCTTGATCATATTCAACTATTCACAAGGTTAGTAACATGTGTGCTTCTAATGTTGATGCAGATACTCGCAGGAAACGCCAGAAAGGTAAGTGCCATTCGGTTCGAAAGATTAGACAATGGAGAAGCAGCTCTGGAGACCAAAGAGATGACTCGGTTTGTTCCGAAAATCATGAAAAGGAAGTGGAACAGTGATGAGGACTCAGAAAGTACAGAATGCGATGAGGATTCATTCCAAAAGAGACCACAGAATAGCCTCCTTGATGAACATGAAGACAATTATGATAGTCTCAGCACACCTTGATCATGTTTCTTGTTGCTCCCATTTTTCACAACACTACTGATAGGTGTTTGAGTTGAGAACCAATGACCAATTTTGTGAATCAGAAATGGAAAATAAAAAAAAATATTCAGAGAAAGATTGTGTAATGTGTTTACTTGACGAAAAAAAATGCCATCATTACATGTCATATTGCACGAGAGCTGCCACCTAGGAGTGTTAGACCAGGTTATCTTATTTTTTCGAAAAAAAAGCTTATATAAGCTGATTTTTATTCAAAAATGAAAAGAAAAACAGTATTTAAAAAAAAAAACAGTTGTTTAGCCCGTCATATTTTCATACATTCTCGGAACAAATAGAACTGTTCACTGTCTCTAAGGTTAAAATCCTCTCGGAACAAATAAAACTGCTCACTAAGTCTCCAGAAATCCTCTGGGAATAACTAAAACTGCTCAAGGCGCCTCTAAGCTTTAAATCCTCTATATCCTTCCAAGCTCAAATCAGATATGGACTTTGCACATAAAGGACGGTGCAGCGGTCATGTAGCGTTGCAACAGATGGGGGCATTGGAGGGGGGCCTACAATTGGTGGTGTGTGTGTGTGCAGAAGCAATGGAAGGCCTGCTACGGTGGGAGCTGTGTGAAATGGAGGGGGCAATGCGACGGTGGGGACGTTTCTCGGTGATGGTTGCCATGGGAGATGGGGAGGCGACGATGGCAGTCGACCAAGCTTGAAGGTCGTGTATGTGAGATGGCAGCAGCGGTGGTGGGGCTGTGATGGTGAGATTCTTTGGCATTTGAATAACACCTTATTAGGCGGGATTCAAATTACCACAAAATGGGATAAAGTGATTATATGGAATCGATTTTTCTCGTCATTCATATACCAAACGTAAGAATATGAGAAGATTTCCGTTCACATCCGAACATTATCCCATTACCAAACGCCCCCTTCGCAACAAATGAAACTGCTCACCTTTTGCTATGTGACAATGTTTGTTTCATTGTCACGCGTGTCAATTACATTATCCAAAAAAGCCGAATGAAAATGTATATAGAGCCATTGGGATGTGGGTTATGGGAATAAGTGCGTTTACTCTCTCTCTGTAATGTCCAAACCTCTCTTGGCACTTGGGATATGGGCAATATGGCTTTAGATGGGATGGCAATGGCACTATTTTGCCTGCACTTTTATAGTAAGAACTGTAACTTGCTAAAGGGAGCTTGATGGGATTGCCTTCCTAAATAGTCTCTGAATGTTTCTGTATATCATATCTTCTTGAAGTTACTTTTTTTTTTTTTTTTCATTTAAATCTTTCTAATAGGTTATCAATGAAATGGGAATTTGGACATAGTGGATGGGAAGCGCAACTTTAGCAAAAAATGATGAAAGCTAAAATCCAAAGAAGAGAGGACAGTAGCTTTTGCAAGAACTTTATTTACCCGAGAGTGGTGGAGATATTCAAATTAATATTCTCTTCTTTGATTGGTATCATTGGCTGCTATACACCTTTTATAGTGGCTTTGAGCTTCACATTTCTTGTGTAATAGCGTGTACTACAAGGAATATCAGAATTAGACGCCACGTTTAAATTGCTTCAAACTTCTATTATTATTTTGGGTTTTTGATGATTTTTTCCTCCTTAACTTTTCTTGAATGGGCAAGCTGTTCTTCAAATCTTTTATTTTAAATAATTACCCCCTAAATTTAATACAGTTCTTGCCGGAAGTCCCCGTATTGATGAAGATGTTAAAATTTGGATAGAAAACGCCGTTGTCCATGTCATATGAGCTCATATGAAGAGGCGAGTTAGAGGAATACCCTTTTTAGGGAATTGATATTCGAATATACCATTTTTATGGAAAAGTTATGCCTAATTGACACAACACGACGGACCTTTAGTGGTTGCAATTTAGTTGACCAAGGAACAGAACCACTTTTGGTGGTCCGAGTAGATTCTCGATCTACTCTTTTACTAGTAGAGAAAATTGGTGAATTCACCCTTATGCATTGCTATAAGATAGTTACTTTTTACTCTTGATTAATATTCTTTTGATTAGTTCTTTTACTAAATGATATTAATCAAGTATAAAAAATAAAAATTTAAGATCTATACATTTTAAGGGATATTTATCTCTTTTGTCTTCCTAGAAGACTCTCCATCTACTTAGAAAGCTTAGAATCTACTTATTACAAAGAAATGAATTAAAAAAAAAAAATTGGGTTACGGAGGAAATTAAGAAAATTTAACCCAAATTCTTAAAGCCCAAATAGGTTAGTTAGCCCAAAACATCCATGCAACATTCTCAAGATATTGCTCTTTGAAGTATTTATAAAAAATGATCACTTTTTTTACTCCATATTTAGAATATATTTTTAATTTAATAATATTACTAATTTTTTTATTTTATGGTTATTGAGATAATATTATTTCAAATAAACCCTTTTTATGTGGGTGGTTATAAGTGATTAACAAAGAATAAAATATCATTACAGGTTATTTCAGAGATTTATATACAAATATTACAAGTTGTGAACATTTATTTTTTATCTCCTAACTAACTATTCTTTTTCATCTACCAAAAGAGTCATCCTAGATAGCAAAGCTCCAATGGAGCACATGGTGTCACGTAGATGCGTGTTTTCCTCCAAATGTTAGCTTGATTTATGATTTATGGCATTGTGCAAAATTTTATTAAAATTAGGGGTAATTTATGAAACTTAAAAGTTCACGAGTAACTTGTCAATTCACAAATTAGGTGGATGTGAATTTTGGTCACCCCTTTTCATTAATAATATTAAAAAAATCAGTTAAAATGCCCTTTTTTCTAGATTCGACATTAGTTAATCACTGATTTACTAATTGTATCACTGAATTACCAATGATCTATCACTACTAAGATCGGTAAATTATTAATTTTATATTGATCAATCACCTGATATCGGTCTATTAATCATATATCACTAAATTAATCTGTGATGAGCTGCTAAAATAATAGATCACAAATCAATCCACCACTAATTAACCATTTTCCAAAGTTACTATTTTGCAAATTTAACAAAACTTAAAAATCATTTATTAAGAACCAAACTTGAAAAACGGCCATTTACTTTTTATGAGGCAAAAGCGTCCAATCCCTTTTTTTTTTTTTTTTGACGGTTCAAGTTAAGCATCGGTATGAGATCACATTTGGTCTCATATATTGTATTGTATTATTATATGAGATCATCAATTGTACACTTGGAGCAATATCTTCTGCTCTTCTAAAATTGTAAAAATCAAAAGTTAACACAATATATATCTCGTATGAGAATTAGTACATGAATTAGATATCCTAGTACCATTTCTGATATGCATGTGCTTCAGGTGTTTGATAAGTCGCTTTCACTTTGAATATCCAAATAATTCTCTCTTTTTCTTTCTATTTTTTTTTTCCTTTTCCTTTTGTTTTTATTCGTGGTCAAAATAACGATTTATTTCTAATCCCAAATGGTAAGATATTATTATAGAATGGCCTTTTTCAGTGAAGATCATATGACTTCTTGACAAAAGAAATATTTATAAAAATGTTAAGAGGAGCAATTTTGATGGGATACGCTCAAGTTTCTTCAGAATTAGAATTTCAAAAACGTACTTTTTCTTGAAAATATGACTTCTTACATAAATTATAAATAACATCTTCTTGATATTTGACGATCTATAAATAATTTTGGTCACCAAGGAGGTGAAGTTCTTGCTGGTCCCATTTTCATGTTCTTAATAGGAAATTGCTACAATTATTAGCAAATTAATAATGGTACAAACTACAAACTATAAACCACAAACATGTATATATATTTAAAAAAGATAAAACTCTCTAGTGAACATGAAGATGAACATGATGGTTCAGGTACATATATATATATATATATATATATATATATATATAGTCACAAAACTCATATCTCTCCCACAAAAGGTACTGCATTTAAGAACAAACTGACCCAAAAACAAAAGGAGAATATATAAGCCAAATTGAACCATCACAAAATTAAGTCTCTCTTTTTCACAGGTGAAGAGAAGTGTCTACATCCGAATCATCAAAACTATATGTTCTATTATTCATGGCTGCACCACTTGTGGAGGTCATGTTTGCAAAGATTGGGTTGGTCTCATTGCCTTGGAAGTTGCCATGCTTGCCCTGAAAATTTTGCTGCACGTAGATAGAGCCTTGGTGAGAAGGCGGCCTATGATGAGGAGGCACGGATTCGGAGAAGAAAAACAACCCCGTTGGCTCGTAACGCTTGGTCGGATTACTAGTCCTCTCCGACTCGGAGAACAGTCTCAGAAGCTCCTTCTCCTTCCTCATCTCCTTTGCTCTTTGCAATTGCCTAAACCTCTCTTGAAGCAAGGCAATGGAGGAATGATGAGCAGTGCCGTCACAACTTTTTGTGGCCATTATTCAATGAAGGAAAAATGAGAATAATGATATATTTTGGTTCTAGAGAGGTCTTTTAGATTGCATTGCTATATATAGGAAGTGGATAATTTTGAAAATGTTATTATTGTTATTATTATTATTATTTTGAAATTAAAGGCTAGAATAATAGATTCTGATGATGTAAACTAAGAAGGTAGAGAATCAGCAGCTGGGGTGCAAAGTCCAAGAAGGCAGAGTTTTCTGACTAATATTGAGGAGTTGGGGTTGGTGAGATGTGAGGGAGAGGCCAAAAGCCTCACTTGGAAGAAAATGGTGAGGAAAAGAGTCCAAAATGGTTGTGGAAGTTAGCTTTTGGAAAAGCTTTTTAAGAGGAATAAAATGGATGGGTGATGTTATGTCGTCTTGTCTTTAAAGAGTTGCTTTGGCTTTGGAGAAGATGTTGTTGCCTCTTTTGTTGAGGCTTTTGGTGGGATACATCTTGTTATTGTTTTTTTTACCTTTAGATACTCTCTTTTTCTTTTTCCGTTTTTTCAGTAAGACATCATTATCGGTAATGCATATTTTTCAATATTAAATCTGATCAAATCACGTTAAAATAAATTTAAAAAAAATGCAAAACTGACCTAAATTTCTAACGATATAAAAGTTCAAAACAATAACCCCACCAATATAGTATTTTTTTATGCGCTAATAAGAGAGCGTTCTCATTTTTTTTTTCCTTTCGTTTTCCGATTTTCTTTTTTATTTTTTATTTTTTTCAATTTGGTGGATGATGAAAAGAAAAAGAAGTGGGATTATTTGAAAGCTGCTTACTATATATTCATTTGTTTGCTTCCAACTTTTTTTATTGCATGGAGAGAGGGGAGAAAGAGAATTTGAAATATAACTCAATATCAAAAGCCAACAATCCTCATAGCTTCTCTCTATGTGCTTCCATAGAGAGAGGGAAATTCAACCTTATACATTCTGCCTCTCCCTTTCTTTCTCTCAACTTTCTGTCTTGTCCCCAAGTTGTTGGACTCAAACGGCATGGAGGGAAAACAAAGATATTAATATTTAATATTACCTTTGGAATTTCTTGTTTGGCTTCATATATTCAAAGCCATAACCCCCATTTTGATATTTTGAATATCAAAATTTTGAAAGGCCATATTTAGAGGCCACTCTCATATAGGCTTAGCCCTATGCATATAGGTATGTTATGACACAATATTTGGAATTGATATTGGCAATGGCGCAATATCTGGCAACAATATCAAGGTGGCCAAACAGAAAAACATTCCTCCAATTTCTTAATCCCAAGATTGTGAAGCACAATGTGGAATAAAAATGGTTGATAGAGTACAACTTTATGGTGCTTTTTGATTGATCACATTAAAAAAAAGAGGATGTGGTTTTCTTTTCATTTGCTCTTAGGATTAGAAAAATGAAAATGCAGTGCAAGAATCAATGAGAGCGTGAGAATAGTAAAAGATTATACCTTTATTAGTAAGAACTTCTACAAGCACTAATATGCAACTTGATTAATTATTATATAATAGGAAAACATAAAGGTTTTACTTCAATTCATTGCACGCTAACCCTAAGTTATACACTTCATTTTATGCTTATTTTTTTCGAAAAGTTCAGTTCTCAAGTTAACTGGTATTTGCAATTTAGTTACAATTACACCGATATGGAGCAACAATATTAGATTTTTTTACATCTGTATAATTATTTGTTAAGTCGTATATTTCTTTATATTGAATTCTAAACTTAGGTTTATTTTTATCTTTTAGGGTTATTTAAATTTAGTTAAATTATATTATTAGTTTAGATGTCTATAAATGCCAAAGCGATTATATATAATTTCCTTCAGAGTTTTGATGATTAATAAATATTGATATTTTTAGCTTTTTCTTGTGTTCCCATTCTCCTTCTGTATCCTCTCTCTTATCGACTCTCTATTCTCTCTTAATTAATTTTATTTCTCTCTAATTTCTATCTCTATTCTCTAAATTCTATCTTGCCCGGAATCACCAATTTTTTTCAAAACGCCAAAATTTCTCACGAATGACATTTGCTTCTTGGACTTGGAGATGATTGAATTGACAAGAACACAGTTCATTAACATTCATTTATCAATTTTAACTGACCATACAAACTCAATACAAGGAAATATACATATAAAAATTATAAAGTATGCAATTACAAAGAAAAATACATATAGTTTACTGAAATGCCACATTCTTCATTGAGCCCACATTGTAAACTTCAAAGCTCAAGTTGCCTATACCAAAGTATATAGAGGTGTGATGTAGCGAAGGGATAAATTCCGATTATCGATCTCTTTTCTTTTCGTTTTCTAAGTCGACTTTTCTTTGACATCTTCCACGCTCACTAAATCTGCAAAGCCAACCTTTTTCCTCAATGTTTCAGCCAAGCCAGCTGCATCAACAAATCCCTCTCCGATCACTTCTATTCGGTTTTTTCTTTCACCCTTTATAGCCACTGAAGTGACACCTAAAAAACATTTCATAAAGAAACAAAGACAAGAACACAAACAATATTCACATTTGTTACTTTATTTTTTCTTCTCTCTCTTTAAATTCAAAGAAATTTATGATCTATATATACCATCTTTTGCAACAGCTATCTCCAAGGCCTTGGACCGGCATTTCTTGCATTTCATCTCCACCTCAATGACTACTTTTTGCTGCAATATTCGTTAGATAAACATTTCAAATTTAGCATTTATACAGGTTGGAAAAGATGTTTGAAATTTGAAAAAAAAAAAAAAAAAGTTTCAAAAGAGAATGAATATGAAAATAATAGAAAAACCATAATAGAATATGGTTCAAGCACTAAAGTTAGGCATATTGAACAAATGGATAAAGAAAATGATTCACCTTCATATTTCTGCCCCCACCAAACCAAATTCCGTTGTCTATGTGTGTTGTTTGATTCTGAAAAAATATGTGGTGGTGAAGAGAAGCAAACTGAATTCTCTAAATAATGTGTTACATATATATATATATATATATATATATATATATTTCATTCTTTTATTTGATATATAATGTGAACAAGTTACAACTACAATGTTGCAAGTAATCTTACACGTGATAATTGTTCATAAAGTCTTAAGGTATATAAGTTGGCGATCCACTTTTTATGGGTTCAATGTACAATGTCATCTACTCTTTCCTATTATGATTCTAATTCTTCGCTTAGTCTTTTTTTAATGCTAAATTTGTTAGAAGTCAGCTATATTAAATTCTTGACTCAATATTTAGTAGTTACAGTCAATGTTATTAAGTCAACTATTAAGGAAAAAAACTGCATTATGAAAGTAGCGTGGAAATGTAAAACCTGTCAAATGAACAATATGGAAATTATTATATCAATTGAAGAAACATGGGAGGAAAGTGTAGATGGGAGAAAGAGCCAAAAATTCAGTTCCATGACTTGCAAATGTAGGACGAAATAAATGGTTGATGAGTTGTTATACTAGGTAAAATTACCATTCATTTATGTCAATATTTTTGCTCTTAGTAACTTATACATTGTCCGCTTGTTTGGTAGGAAGGAAAAGGGGAAGGAGGAATAGTTGATGGATATCAAGACATATAGATGATTGTGTAAGGGTTCAAAATCCTCTATCGGATTCCAATACCAAACACGATAAGCGAAAGGTTCACCCTTTCTTTCCTTATCTACAACAACGAGCCTTAATCCCAACTAATTGGGATCGACTATATGGATTTCACTTTTTCACACAACTATGTTCGAAATTAAACTTTTCTGAAGGCCTAGATCTAGAATGTCTTTCCTAACGACTTCGGTCCACGTAATTCTTGGTCTACCCCTCCCTCTCCTAGTATTAAGTACCTTTCTTTCCTTACCTAAATAATATATTTTTCCAACCTATTCTCACTTCTGCTCTCTATAGCCCTTTGGATCAGTCACTATTTCTTCTGGTTTACTTATCGTAGTAGAGCTTCAAAATTGAGCACTTTGTTAAGGTTCTTGTCAGCTACACAATTGAGCTGTTTTTCCCAACAGAAGTTATTTTAAAAGAAAAAAAATCTACACATCTCATAAATTAATATACCAACTAAATCATATGTAAAGGAGTAAAGAAAAATGAGAATTTCTGTACAAGTATCCTTTACTTGGTCTTTTTTTTTTCTTTCTTTTTTAATTCTCTGCTAAGCATGTTCCAAGTTAGCTATATATACTTGATTAATGAGTCAATACATCGTAGCTAAATCAACTATGGAAGTATATATATATATATATATATATATACAGTGATCACATGTTCGGATTCCAAGGGTGATTCTGCAGAGCTGATCTTGGCAATCTCATGCACAGAATATTCTAATTTATTGAACATGATATCCAAATTGTGAGAGGAGAAACATATAGCTTAATATATATATATATATATATGAGCATGTATAATTTTATATCAAGAATTTCACACTATTCTATTGTGCTTAACTCTTGCAGAATTGAAGAAAGTTGAGGGGAAGTTGTAGATGCAAGAAAGTGCCGAAGTTGATTTCCATAACTTGCATAGGTGATAAGTTGTTATCATTAACAGGAAAAATTACCATTCGTTCATTTCTAAATTTTCACCCTTGGGAAAGTATACATTGGCCTTGTTTGGTATGCAGGAAAAGTGGATATTAAAGATTGTGGTCGTTTGGTAGGAGAGATTAGAATGGAATGACTAATGGTTTCAAAATCGCCGACAAAAAACCAATTTTGATCCTTTTGAAGTATGAAGAATGGGACCCACGTATGAAGGATATTAAAGATTGTGGTTCTTTGCTTTCTTTCTATTTTCCTTACCTAAACTAAATTCATTTATGTTCTTGCCTTGGCTCGTTTGTTATTCTTTCCGGTTTACTTGTCTTATCATGTAGTTGATCATCAAAATATAGGCTACAATTTCATTTGATATTTTGCATATATATCAAACTAAGCACACGCAATTTAAAGCTTTTACTTCAAGTCACTGCCATTTCCGCATGAACTAAATTTCATTCATTTACATTGCTCTTAATTCTATTTCTATTTCAACTTTTCTACATATTTAGGCAAATAGACGTTTGATAAATATTTAGGGGTGTTCATCCAATCTAATCCAACCCATTTTAGTCATATAAGTACAATCAATCTATTCAAAGGCCGGTTTTTAGAAATTTCATCAAATCCAATCCAATTACTAGTGTATCATCTAATCCAAAATCCGATTAAAGTCGGTTTCGATTAGACTGGACCAATCAAATTTGGGCTTGGGATTTTTGTACAGTTTTTTAATATTTATTTTCATATTTAGCTATTTTTTAGATCTTTTTAACATAATTTAAATGTTGTAGTTGAAAAAAAAAACCATGAATTAACATTTAAAAATAAAAAAGCGTATAAACTCCAAATTACAAATTTGAAAATTGATTAAACATCCAACAAACAATTATAAAGAAACAGACGTTACATTCCAAACTATAAAGAAATAACATACAAAGAAAATATAATCTAAAGATTCAAATGTGCATGTCTACTACTCTTTTTGATGATGATCCATAATGGAAAGAAAACATAATCTATTTTTTATTTTTTTATATAATATATAAGAATTGGATCAGTTTGGATTGGGTGTTTTATAAGTAAAATTAACATTCAATTTAATTCAAGTCGGATTTTGAAGAAATCACATTCAGTCCAATCTAATTGAGATCGGTCATCCATAAAAATTGGATTAGATTTGATTGGATTGATCGATTTGATCGGTTGATTAGGAATCTATGAACACTCTAGATAATAATACAAGTGAAATTTGCATCACTTGATACGAATCTTCCCTTTTGGTATTAATCAATCATAGAACCACCATTAACATCCCTTTCTCTTTTTCTTTTTCTTTTTTCTGTTGTAGCTGAGACTGGTTTTTCCTGACAAAAATTTAAAAAAAAAAAATGACAGAAAAATAAAAAATAATAATAATAATAATAAAAGAGGTGGCATCTACTCATCTCATAAAATTGATATCAACTAAATCACATTTAAAGGATGACAAAAAAAATTAGAAAATACAAGGATGTAACTTTGGAAAAATGAATACTCTTTAATCCTATTACATAATGTTGCAAATGCTTGGTGAAGAGGAATCATAGACCATTTGGTACACTTCATGTTCAGGTTGCTCATAACAAGTTACTACGTCATATTCATTTTCTCTTCTCTCTCTTTCTGCATGGCCGACCGTTTTCCTCAACGTTTCTGCCGCGCTGATGATTCCATCTCCGACAATTTCCATCTGATTATCACTTTCCCGCTTTAAAGCCATTGAAGTAACACCTGCAAAATCATGAACAAACTGAAAATTAATTGCCTCTTTTGCTCTTCCTTTTTGTAAAATAAGGGGATTCAAAGCTTACCCTTATCCTATGCTGCTATCCGCAAGGCCTTGGTACTTCAATGACTATCTTTTGCTGCAACCATTAGTAACTAAGAATAATTTTATGACCAATATTAAACTTTTTTAAAAATTTTCATTACTTTTTTAAAAACTTTCATTATTTTTTAAAAAATTTTCATTTCTTTTCCATGACTTGACTTTTTTCAACCAAAATCGATAAATAGGAGATTGTTTTACCTTCATTTTTCTATCCCACCAAACAAAGTGATCTTTTTGCTTCTGAGGTTGGTTGAAGAAGTAAAAGTTTGAATGTCTTTTTATATTTTGGGAACATTTATAACATTGCAAGCAATCTCTCTCGCACGTTATGTTTGTTGATGAAAGTTTTAAGGACTTGGGGATCCACATTTTGTGGTTTCAACATAAAAAATAAAAAATAAAAAATAAAAAAGAAACAAACGACCAAAATGTTTGTTCTGCTAAGCTTTTTGACAAGTCAACAACTGTGTAAGTAATAAGTCAACGTTTAGCTGTAAAAGTCAATAAATTGCAAGTCAACTACTTAAAAGGAACGACAAAAAAGGATTGTTCTTTTAAGTGAAAAACTCAAAAAAATGTAACTCAAGTTATAACTTTATTTGAGTTCATATTCTTTTAAGTTTAAACTCGAGTTTATGACTAAAACTCGAGTTCAAATTTCCCCTTCAATTCGAGTTCAGAAACTCAAACTCAAATTAATGAACAGTATTTTTTTTATTCTTAAAAATGTTACAACTTTTTCGTTTTAATTCTGATTGAGATGATTGTTTTTCTATGCGTTGACAACGAAAAGACGAATAAAACCCGACTCATATATCCTATTCAAATTTTTCATCAGCATTGAGTTTTTATTAAAATACTATATAAATACAAATTTAAGTTTTGACTCACTCAAACACAAACTCAAGTTACAAGTTCAACTCAACTTATAACTCAAATTCAACTCAAGAATTATACTCAAATTAAACTCCAAAAGAACAAGCCATTATCACATGTTTAGACTTCACTTAGAGATGGATTATTTTCATAATCACCACCGAATTATATAATTTATTTCAAAATACCTCTTAATTTTTTAAAACAACTTAAAACACCCCTTCATATATAGAATGGTTACATTCAATTTAAATTATTAAAAATTATTTAAGTTAAAAAATTAAATTAATTATTAAAACTTAATTAAAAATTAAAATCTAAAGATAAAAATAATTAGATATTCAATCCAATTAAGGGTTAAATAAAAACAAACTTGCACATTCTAAATAAAAATCTCATTAATTTATCTTCTCCCAAACACACATCGGAACATTACAAATTGTTTTCTTCTCTCCACCTACTTCCGATCTCTCCATTCCCTATGAAATCCATGGACTATAAACCATTCACCAAGAAAAGGACATCAACATCCTCGAATTCAGCAAAATACCAACAACGGATTAGAAAGAAAGAAAAAAAAAAGACTGGAAAACTAACAAAAAAAAAACTCAAATTAGCTTTCAAAGGTTTTGATTACCCCATTCTTGTAGAAACTCAATCGCTTCGCTTACTAAATGGGAAGAGCACGGAATTTCTCAACGAGTCGGTTTTAGCTTCGAAATCGGAGCGAACATCGAGTTCGAAGGAACGACCGATCTGGTTGTGGAGCTTGCAGATATGGTTAGTACGGACGGAGAATACTGTTGCCGAGCTTACAGATCTGGTTGGTATTGGCGAAGATAAGCCAGTATGAAGACAGGCGGAGGCCTGGGTTTCAAGCAGTGGCCTGGGATCAGGAGGTGACTTGGCCGCGTTCGCCAGAAGGATAGGAGCAAGATCATGAAGCCGGGGCTTCGTTCTGCAGTGCGGCGAGTCAGGACGGTGAAACAAAGCGGCGGGGTCATGAGTGGGGACCGGGAGGTGGGAGAGTTAAGAGTTTTATTTCTGGGTTTGCAAGTGAGGGAGGAAGAAACGACTCTTATTTTTTTGTTATTTGGTTTTTTCATTTCTTTTTTATTGTTTTTAATATTTAATCAGTTTTGAAAGTGTGATTTGAATTTAATACATTAAATTATTTTATATATATCAATTTGATCTGTTTTGAAAAATTAAAGAACATTTAAAATATAATATATAATTTAAGGAACAATTATGAAAATAATCCTTTAGAGATTTATCAGTCATCTTGAGGATCTGATATCCAAATTTTATATTATATGATGTTTAATGGTAAAGGAATAAAAACTCAACAATTTAGAATAAAATAGTTCCACTATTTACTTTTCAACTTAAATTTTTTTAGTCCAACGATCCATAAACAAGTAACCCCATTAAAAAAACAAAAAACAAAAACAAAAACCAAAGAAAAATACCTCCATAGAACTCTTTGGACAAACTTTTCTTATACACTGATTTATCTTTGGTAAAACTAGAAGTTCAGCTGCCTGTTTCATGCCAATTTCTACTAGTGTTTTTCCCTTTTTGTTTGAACTGTTATTTTAGCCCATTAAAAAATATTGTTATTTTAGCCCTTGAAAATGTCAAAGCATTATGCAAGAAAAAACTTATTAATAGAGGAGTCAAATTTGAACATGAAGCTTCAACTTGCCCAACATAGAGTTTTTCAACGGTCTCTCGGCGGCGGCGGAGCAGAAGGGCCGCTCTTTCAATCCCTTGTTTGGGTGACGAGGCAGCACATGACTTGGCTAAGATTGCTAATGCCATTAATGAAAATGTTTGTCTAAGATTCTCCAGACTGTATCAAACCTCTCCTTACTGAGGAATCTATTATTAATAAAGATCAGTCATTTTTCTTTCAAAAAAAAAAAAATTGAGCAATAAATATATCCTCATGTATTTAAAATATTAGTAACACAAAAGAGGCGCTATCTGACTGACCTTTATGGTCTGCAAGTGAATAAGTAAAGAAAAAGTTAAATCAAACTATCATGGAACAAACTTTACAATGATAGATTGCAACTAGATCGAAAGTCGAAACTTACAAGTAACATCCGAACATTCATACAAGGTCTGGATTCCAGCTGAGCTGCTGGATGCTGATCCGTCTCATGGATCTAGCCATATGTTCATCCGAAACACGGATCTGAATCAACCTATTTAGCATGTTCCGGAAAGAAGGAATTTCCATTGCCTCTGATATTATATCATGCTGCGACGGGTCTTCTGAAAAATTTATAAGCGCCTCAGCAGCATTGTCACTCAACTCTTCAGACTCGTCGTGCAACAACTCGATGAGAACCGGGATCGCCCCAGCATCGGCAAGTGCCACTCGATTCTGGTCCTCATAGCTCAACTGAGCTATAGCCCCAGAAACCTTTTCCTTAACTGCCTCATTCCCATCTCTCAGAAGGTTGACTAGAATAGGAATAGCACCAGAGACACGCAATATGCAGACAGAGTGTCTGTAACCCGAGAGATCCCACAGAACATTGGCGGCTGCAGCCTTTGCCTCATCATCACCTTCCCTGAGAATTCTAACCAAGTGTTGAGCAATCATAACTGCATTATCCTCTGCAACCGCTAATATACAAAACGCGTCTTCTGCAATCTCCTTACCAGAAGGTTCAGGCCCTTGTAGTAGCTCGGCATACAAAGGGATTGCCCCCGCTTCAGCCACTGGTCTAATGTAATCAAGATGAGCTGAGATCACCCCAAGTGAATTGCCCGCCACAAGCTTTGTTCTCATATCCCCATCACGGAACAACTCAACAAGCACAGGAATTGCGCCTAACTGAACAAGCACGTGCCTCGCACGCCTCGTCACTCCAAGCAATCCAATTGCTTGACAAGCTCTCTCCCTAGAAACCATACTACCGGAACCAGCAGCTTCAACAAGAAGGCGAAGGCCACGCAGACTAGGCAGGATCCTCCTAACCTCTCTCAACAATGCCAACGCACTCAGGATCTCAAACAAGTACCGCCTATTATCATCCGCGCTCGAGCTCAACAAACGAATTATGACTTCCAATCCACCATTTCTCGCTACAATCACACGGTTATCATCCCCGAAACTCACAAAACTCCACAGACATTTTATTAGGACTCTCCGAAAACTATCGTCGGAATGTGGCAGTAACCTTAGTAAAGATGATATAGCGCCAGATTGGCCTATCCTTGAAGCTAATTCACCCTCACCAAGGCAAGCTATTTTATATAAACAATAAGCAGTGGCTTCTTGAATGGACCTTGTATTATCCTCAAGAAGCCTTGCAAGGATTGGTATGGTGCTAACCAAAACATTTTGTGGAGCCCTTTTGGAGAAATGGGTTAGCTTTGTTATGGCTTCTAAACGCAGAGCCTCAGTTCCAGAGGACACAACACTTTCAAACTGATTAAATGCTTGCTCCCAATCTGGGTCAATCTTTTTTAGCATTTTCCCAACTTCAGCATGACCCATGATTCAAAATTCAAACTTTTTTTATTCTTTTTTGGCTTGGATTTCAAAAGGCCAAAAATCAAACTTGATTGTACAGAATAACCCCTTTTGCTCAATCCTCAATATTCAAAACAAGAACAAAAAGGATTAACTAAGAAAAAAAAAAAACCTTTGAATTGGTGTACAGCAGTGGTGCAAAATAAATATAATTCGCACTAAAAATTGAAATAAAGCCCAAAAATTGGATCTTTTTCACAGTAAAATTTCGTTTAGATGTTTTCATAATAGTGGGTTTTTCTTAAATTATCAGAAACAGAACGAATTGCCAGAGAGAGGAATTGACAGTACCGTTTGCGAAATAATTCAGACTTTTACGAGGAAAAAAAAAATTTGGGGGGAAACAGGTAACAAGCTTCAATAGCAGAAAATTTAAGTTAGTGAAAGATGAGGGATAAAAGGGTTCTTACAGATTCTGGGAAAATGGAATAATCAAGGAAGGCCGTACCGGCGGCGCCGCCACTTTTGGGAAAACGACAAACGGTTTTCGGGAAGGTGCGATGGTGAGAAGGGGGAGACGCCATAGAAGTCGGCAGTCATTACCCACGCTATATAAAACGAGTCATCGCAGAGACATAATCAGACAAATCTTGGAAAAACGACACAAATATGGGACTATTTCTTGTACCGACTGGTCAGTCCCTAACAATTTAAAAATTACATTGAATTAAATAACATAGAACAGACAACTTTTTATACCGAAAGTATGAAATTAGCGGTAAAAAAAAATTTTTAGGAGTTGTTCTTTTGAAATAAAGTTCAGAAAAAGTTTAAATTTGAATTATAATTTTATTTAAATTCATATTTTTTTATAAAATTTAAGGTCTCGTTCGTTTCGCTGATTCGAGTTTAGAATTCGAGTTTTGCTACAGTAAAAAACTCTCACAAACAGTCACATCTAACTTTTTTGCTACAGTAAAAAGCTCTCACATAAAATCATATCTCAACTCGAATTCTAACTCGAATCAGCGAAACGAACGAGGCTTTTGAACTCGAGTTTGAATTCGAATTTGAACTCGAATTTAGGGCTAAACTCGAGTTTAGGGCTAAACTCGAGTTTAAATTTTTCCTTCAACTTGAGTTCAGAAACTCAAATTCAAATTAATGAATAATATTTTTTATTCTTAAAAATGTCATAACTTTTTCGTTTTAATTCTGATTGAGATGATTTTTTTTCTATGCACTCACAACGAAAAGACGAATAAAACTCTACCCATATACCTTATTAAAATTTTTCATCACCATTGAGTTTTTATTAAAATACTATCTAAATACAAATTTAAGTTTTGACCTACCTAAACACAAACTCAAAAAGATTCTCAATTCAAATCATAACTCAAATGTGCACATCTAAACACAAACTCAAGTTACAACTTCAACTCAAGTTATAACTCAAATTCAACTCAAAATCATTACTCAAATCACCCTAACTCAAAAATACAAAAGAACAACCCCTTAAACTTTTAATTTTAACAAATAACTCTTTAGATTTTAATTTTCAGCAGTTTTAGCCTCTGATAATAAAGTTAATCTAAGATTTTTAAAATATAATAGAGCTTGTCATGTACATATGATAAACCTATAGTGTGATTACTTGAAATTTTATAGAAATAGTTATATATGTGAAAAATGGTATCTTCACTATTATTAAAACTCATTAAAAATTACAATGTTTTACACTTATATGATCATTTATGTAAAATTTTTAGTTATTAGGTGATATGAATATGATTTTCTATGTTAAATTTTATAAATCTTTCGATATCTTTATTTTTTTTTAGGGGTACACAAAATGAAAAGTTCATTGAACAAATTACCATGGGGACTATTAGTGTTAAATATAAGTAACTCAAACAAAATATGATTTTCTATGCTAAGTTTTTAGAAATCTCATATTTAGTTTTGGGGGAGGTAATCAAAATGAAAAGTTCGTTAAACTAATTGCAGCAATATTCCAGGGACTACTAGTGTTAAATATAAATAACAATAAAAAGAAAAACTCAAAACGGCAATAAGCACAATCACATGGCGCATTAAAAGCATGTCGAGAAACGACACTACTAATATGAAAACGACGCCAAGCAGAAAACAACAACTAGTACATACAATAGTAACCACGAAAACTGACACATATATGAAAAACGATAATAACAAGAGCCCGGTGAGGCAAGGAAACGAGAGAAGCCATGAAAAAATAAAATGACAATAACCTAAGCATAGTATGGATCAAATAGCCGGTACAATAACGAAGGAAGCCAAGAGCAACAAAAACAAAAAAAAACAAAAACAAAAACAAAAACAAAACAAAGAAAAAAGTGAGAGACATTGAAAATGATTTAAAAAATAAAATACTATTTTTCAAAGCTTGTTAATCTACTTGGATTTGGAAAGTTGTATATCTATATATATAGTTGTGTGTGTATGTGTGTGTGTGTGTGTGTACTCAATATTAACACAAATGGAAGACTAAACGAACAAAAAATAAATTATGACATTGATGTATTTGATATGCACCGATCGAGATTTCTATTGGATTTGTTGTTAAGGCTTTTACAGAAAATAGTGCTGATGGTTTGTATTTGCTTTGAATATAAAGCTGTTACAGTGTAAGGGTTTAACTGTAATAAAAAAATTGAAATTTAAATCTAGGCGTGCCATAATAAAACAAAATTGGGGTGTGAATATAATTTCATTTTCTTTTCCTCCTACCGAGACAATCAATACCGAGCATTAGCAACCGAGGTCCATGCACAAGAATTTTTACGTGAGAATTCAATTTGATTATTTTTAACAATCTAGCTTGAAAAAGATTTTACAATGCAAATTGGCAAGAATAAATAATGAACTCCATTTTGCATATACCACAAAAACAGTCCAAAAAAAAGGCCACCTTTTTTATTTTGCATGATCAAAACACAGAAAATCAACATTGATGAAACAAAATATAGAGAGTATATGTAAAATAAGATAAAATAAAATAAATCTTTCATTCATAAAAGTGCTTACTTCAATAGAAAACAAAACTATACTACATTATTTAACTATAACCTCAAAACCTACGAGAAAAAATAAGAAGAAAGAATAGCATAAACTAAAAAACCCTAATGATGCAGCAAGAAACCTAAACAAAAAAAACAAAAAACAAAAAAAATGGCAACGGATAATGGGACTAATGATATTGAGAACAATGCTCTTTGACCAATGGAGGGTAGATCAAATCTTGAATCTGGGGAGAAAACTTGCTGTAGCAACCCTCAACGACTCCGGCCACAAAGTCGCAACAAACCGGTCCTGGAGTGAAAATTCCGCTTCTCCTTTGTTGTAAACTTTCATCCAAGCATGGCTTCCACTTCGTGTTGAAGTCATGGGCCGACTCACATCTTGCGATTTCGTCCGCGGTCGGTGGATGCAGCCACTTTGGTAAATGTGGCTTCGAGCTCGACTGATCAATTGGCGCCGACGACGGAGCGCCTGCTGACTCAGTTGGTGGCGGCGCCGGCTTCAACCGCTTCCACCATGGCAGTGAGTAGGCGTCTTGGGTACAGAGGGCCAAGCACACAACAAACACCAGCATTAAACCTGAGTTCTTCATCTTCCCAATTTTCTACTTTGCTTTCTCAAGCTTACTTTGTTAGGTGAATTGTTTATGATCAGGTAAGCTTGGTATTCAACTGGGTACTTATACAGCTACCGGAGAGATGAGATTGATCGATAATCACTATTTTTTCAAATGAACAAAAGTTAAAAAAATAGAAATAGAAATAAAAAGGCCAGTCGATATCTTGATAATTGTAACCTCATTTTTCCTTATCAGGTAAGATTTTTTTTGTTTTTAAAGCAAAACGAAGAGATCAAATATATTAAAGAGGAAAAAAAAAAAAAAGAAAGATTCCACCAAAAGGGATTTATCAAATCCGGGCGTGCATGATAATGATAACTATAATACTTTTAAATCTAGGTTTTTTTTTTAAATTTGAATGCAGACTAAGGATTATATAGATTCATAAATCAAAATTCCTTTTGTTTTAACTTTCTGTCTAATTTATTTTGGAAACTTTTTATTGGTTGTGGGAAATAATATAAACTAATCACTAATAATAAAAATAATTCAAACTTTAAAACAGAAGATAAGTATTAAGGATAAGCTAATTTAAAATATTTATAAGTTAAATACAAACTTTAAATTAAATAATTCAATTCTCCTTGCTATAATATTATATGGTGTTTATAAATAAGATGTATAGAAAACGTTTGCTCAAGAGATGATAAAATTGATAACTCAAAAAAAAAAAAATGATCACGATAGGACTGTTCTAATCCTTTTATTTATAAAAAAAAAAAAAAAAAAAAAAAAAAAAAAAAAAAAAACTCTTTTATGGCACGGGCTAATAATCATCTTTCCACATGTCAGTAGTGATAAACTAAATACTTCTTTTTTTCATTCTGTATTATTTTAATTTTTTTCTGATCTTTTTCTTACTAATTAGAACATGTGCTGAGTATTATCTTACGTATGTACACCAACTAAACCTCTCTTTTTTCTCTATGCTGATAGAATTTTTTTAATTAAATGAAATCTAACGCTGACTAAAGATCATTTTTACACATGACCAACTAAATATTTATTTCTAAGTTGGGAGCATGAGGACAATACTGATGCTTTTTTTCCATAAGCAAAAAAATAAACAATATTTATTTAGATGGAATATATGGAACAACAGTAGAGAATTTACGTTAGTGAAAGATAAGGAATAAAGGGTTCGCACAGCTTCAGGGAGAATAGAATAATCAACAAAACGCCGTTCTGGCGGCGCCGCCACTTTTGGCAAACGATGAATGGATTTTAGGAAGATACGATGGTGAGAAGGGGAAGAGGATGCCATAGACATATACTTAGGGCCCGTTTAGTTCGCTGATTCGAGTTTTTAATTCGAGTTGAGATGTGACTTTATGTGAGAGTTTTTTACTATAGCAAAAAAGTTATATGTGATTGTTTCTAAGTGCTTTTTACTGTAGCAAAACTCGAATCGGTGAAATGATCAACGGGGCCTTAATAAACTTGTCACTTAATCACACAAACATAATCTGACAAACATTGGAAAGACAACACTAACATTAATAAAATTGACGAAAGATTTGGTCTTCAAATAATTCCTTAAACTTTTTTATTTTTAACAGTTTTGGTCTCTAATAATAAAATTGACAAAAGATTTTAAAAATTTAAGAGAGGTTGTCATGCGTCCATCGCATATTAAACTTGAAATTTTATAGAACTAGTTACATATATTTGCAACATGTTCTCTTCGCTATTTAGAAAATTTTACACTAAATATAACGGTTATCTAAATTTAATTTCTTAGGTGATATTGATGTTATTCTCAATGATGAATTTAAAAAATCGTGCGTCAAGTTTAGTGTTAGGGAACA